TGGTATTTACATACATTGGAACATAGTATGCAAATAAATAAAAGGCGTTGCCATATTGCAGACGCGCAGCGCGGTGGCATTCTTTGGTAATGACAGCTGATGAGTTGTCTTCAAATCACTGAAACGGTGTGGCATATAGAGATTTTATAGCCACCACTACTAACGGAATTCAGAAATATTCAGCCAATATTGTTTTTTTTTTAAGCTGTAATTTATTTAAATAAAATTCCTTTAATGACTTATTAGATTATTTATCAAAATGCATTTTTATATTGTTATTATACCTGGACGATTCGCATATTGGCATTAGATGAAGAAAAGATCTTGTAGGAAATTATTAACTAGAGTTTGTTGCAGTCATTCAACTATTATTCATTTTTAAACAAAAAAGAAAAAAATAATAATAGGAATGTTTTGGAGCGATAAAGGGAAACAACTTACTGCGGCGGATAAGTTTAAGCGACCGCTTTAAAGTGCACTTTCTCTAAGGGTGGAGTTGCAAAATTTTCACCAAGTGGATTTAAGTGTCGAAACCAAGAGAAGCCACTATTAACACAATAATTGTAAGCTGTACGGCTTTCTTGAGCTAGAAAGTGTCAAATGCGGTATCAATATGATTGGGAGCAGATTATGAGGTCTGACGAAAGCAAATTTAATTTGCTTAGCTCACAAGATTTGCTTTAAGTGCGTGGTTCAGGCAGTAAAAAGTTCCAGGATAATTGTGTAGAAAAGAATATCAATTTTCCTCAAAGGCAAATGATTTGAAGCTGTTTTTCAATACTATGTTTTGAGACCTTCAGAGCGTATTGATGGAATAATGAATGCACAAATTGGTTAATAATTTTTTTCCCCCCAATAAATTTTTCGATCTAAGGATTCAACGCGTCGATTGGCCTGGACACTAGCCTGATTTAAATCCTATTCAGCACTATGGCACATACTGAAGTTTCAAGTAGCTAAACAGAAGCAAACAAATAAAAGTTAATTTAGTAAGAATTTAGAACCAGTTTTGTATGCTGCCGTTATAAGGAAATCAATTGAGTTCCGAGTGAATTCCATAATTTCCTGAATTAAGGCAGTTATTGAGCAACGACTCGTTTTTAGAAAAGCCCATTGTGAAGTTTATATTCCTACCCTTAGTGGTGAAAATGATTTAGTTGCTTTAAAATAAGTTCAGATTATTTTCTTTTAATTGATCAGGAATATCATGGAATGTGTTCGGAATCAAATTACTTTTGCAGAAAAGGCCGTCGATGATAATTGCTTGTCTCGAGCAAGTGCTTTTGAATGGTATAAATTGTTCAAAAAGGGTCAAGAACGTCCAGCGCGGCCATCAACATCAACTGATGATCAACAGGTCAATAAAATAAAGGAATTGATGCTTGAGAAACGACGATTGGCAGTCAGAAATATTATTAGTATTGTTGGATTATCGGAAGGATCAGTGAGAATTGTTTTAAAAGATCATTTGGGGCTTAAATGGTTGGAACGAGTGGTTCCAATATCACACAATTTTTTGGGAAAAAGCTTCACGCATTATTACTGGCGATAAGACTTGGATATATCCTTACGACCCGGAAACAGACAATCAATTTGCCGAATATCGTGACAAAGGTGAGCCCTTTCCGAAAAAAAAACACGTCAAAGAAGGTCAAAAATCAAGGTCATGTTGACAGTTTTCTTCGATTATCGAGGTTCTCTTCGAATTATTTCCGATAGGCCAAACAAAGTAGGAATACCATTTGAGTATTATGTGTCGTTTGCGCGAAGCCATTTGTGAAAACATTCCTGAATTATGAGCCGACAACTCTTGGTATCGTCGCATACTGCATTGATTCTTCGTGAGTTTTTCGCCAAATTTTCAAATAATATCATACCATATTCGCTTGATGTAGCTTCCGGGTACTCAGCAAACTCAATCGACCGTTCCGAAAAGACCGTTTTGAGTCAATGCAAGACATTAAAACATACATAACAAACATAAATCGCTACGCGCATTGAAGGCTATCCCGGAAATGACTTTAACAGCTTTTTCGGGGATTGAAAAAAAAAACGTTTACACAAGTGTATTGAGCCAAGGGGGATTACTATGAGGGTACGAAATATATTTTTAAAAATAAATTAAGAATTCTCAAATTATGAACAAAGTGTTACTACTTTTTTCTCATGGCAATATTGTTGAGATTGGGCCACTAGGTCAAATGGCAGTCATTCAAACTGAACGATCAAAATCAATTCCTTGTATAAAAAGCTATATTATTTATCAAGATGTCTTCATAAAATTCGGCACAGATTGTTGTTGAAGATAACCCTACCCTCTATCATATCATTCAGATCGGACATCTATAGCATATTGCTATCATTAAAACTGACCGGCTGAAATAAGTTCTTGTAAGGAATCTTTTGTACTTTTGAAACTTATTTTAGCTTCTGTGTAGTATTTTTCTTTTTCTTAATGTTCAATACAAAATTTAATCTTATCTAAAACTTTAGAAAAAAAAAAAATCTCCTACTGTGTAAACTTGTTTAGTTTCATAGTTTTCATATGAGTTACTTGAGTGTGAATGTTAAAACATCAAGTCTTAACACACTGAAGTTAAAAAATTTCTTTGCATTAGCTAAAACTATTGAAAATAATTGCAAATTTATGAATTATACTTTTCTCTCATTTTATTAAGCATTTATTGTCAAGTTTTAAACATTTCAACCAGCAGTTTTTACAAATTTCTAAACACTTTTTGTTTGTTTGTTTGATTTTTTTTACAAAAGTTCCTTAAAATAGTTTAAATTTTATTAATGAGGTGCTTTAATTGCTTTAGTGTGTATATTTTATATGCAATAAAAACTTACAAAATAATTTGCTTAAGAAAATAGCTAAAATTGAGCTAACTGAGAACATTGCCATTTCCCTTTAAGTCTATAGCACATTTTAACAATAAATATTTATTATTTCTTAAAGGAGATAAGCATAATTAAAATGGGTGATGATTGAAGCAAAAGCGCGATAAATTTATTTAACTTTTTTTTCAAGTTTTGGTTTTTGAAAATACAATAATTTTACTAAGATACAAACATGCACATTAGCAAAGCTTTTGGACATTTAGACTTTAAAAAAATATATGCTTTTAAAAAATAAGTTGGAATTTATATAAAAAAAATTGCGGCAAATTTAATATTTTAAATTGTTAACGAAATATTCGTAAAAATTTACAGCTATTTTGTATTTATTTGTGTTTTTGAAATATTTTGTTAATTTACAAAAATTTAAAACAAATAAGTGATTTGAAAAGTTGTGGAATTTTTCTTTCAAATAATTTCAAAATGTCCAGCTTTCTTTATCAAACGCGCTTTTCAACTAAAAATTTGAGCTTACAGTCAACTTTCAACACACACCAAAGCATATGGAACCCATTAAGGGTACTTTTTCAATACGTATGTGGCATACCGAACAAAAAATACATATGTTTTCTAATGATTTTAATTTTAACATTTTGAGAATTTTTTTTTATAGTTTGACAACACCAATATTATAAACAAAACACCAAATATAATATATGAACTTTCGAAACGCATTACCACTTTTATGCAGGACTGTAGCTTTTACTGTTATTCTTCATTATCCATATTTACATATACGTTTTTAGCATTTTATGTTTTAGTAGTAAATTTTACTTAAAACTTCTTTGGCTTATCTTACATGCTTTACAGTTAATTAAATTATATTTAAATTGCAAGGGAAGCTAAAGTATATATTAATATATTTTAAATAAGTACAAACCTTTGAGTAGACAGTTTACATTTACATAGGCGGTTTTGGACACTAATCAAGCATAAAGCATTGTAAAATTCAGCAAGCTATATGTTTCATTTAAATATTTTTAATTTTTTATAATTTTTTTTTATTCTTTTTCAATTTCGGCTAAACTCAAAATAAATTTATTTTTGACAGCTGAGTGCATAGTTTGGTTTCAGAGATGTTTTTGAACTGTGTTCGCTACTTATTGAGTTGTGTTGTTGTTATTATCGGTTAAAGAATTTTTTGTCTGTCTGTTTGAGACCTCTTAGGAAACCCCTTAGAAAACTTCTTTCATATATAACCATTAGAATGCGTTGATTTGAGGGGATTCTCTGGTGTAAGGGGTCGAATTTTTTAGCGCAGTTGGCTACTCGAAAATAAGGTTAGATTTTTTGATTCCATAACTTCGAAAACGGTTTGAATTTCGAATATTTTTTTAGGAAATTTGACAAAAAAAAAAAAAAATTGAAAAAGCTTGTGGTGGCAGCTACAAATTCAAAAACAAGTTGGATTTCGAAAAATTCATCTCCCATTTAGGGAGACAGTTATAACTTCGTAATCAATAGTAATTTTTAAAAATCCTTTAAGGAAATGGCTAAAACTATGAAAATAGTTTCAATTTCGAAAAAAAAGCTTCAGAAAGACGGCTATGAATTCGAAATCAATTGGAATTTCGCAAAGTTCTCTAAAGAAGAAGGTTATTACTTTGAAAACAATTGGAATTTTGAAAAAACGCTTTAAGGTAGGTGGCTATATCTTCGGAAACAGTTTGAATTTCGAAACATAGTTTTAGTAGGACATCTATAACTCGGAAAAAGGTTGAATATTGAAAAATTTTATTAGGGAGACTACTACAACTTCGAACACAATTATAGCTCCTAATAAAACCCTTTGTAGAGACGGCTATAACTTCGAAAGCTATTAGAATTTTGAAAATAACTATAATTTCGAAAGCAGTTTAAAATTCGAAAAATCCTCTTAGCGATACTGCTATAACTTTGAAAAAAATTTTAATTTAGAAAAAAAAAACAACACTTAATATAGACGGATATGCTATAACTTTGAAAAAAATTTTAATTTAGAAAAAAAAATTAATATAAACGGATATAACTTCGAAAACAGTTCGAATTTCGAAAAATACTTTTAAGAAGATGACTAAAACTTCGAAAATAGTTAAAATATTTAAAAATGTTATTAGTAAAAAGAACATAACATAGAAAACTGTTTAAGTTATGCAAAAAAAACTTTAAGAGGACGACTGAAACTTCGAAAACTGTTGAATTTTTGAAAAATCATTTCATGTAGACAGCTCTAACTTCGAAAACAATTGGAATTTAAACAAATCTTTTCAGGAAGACGGCCATTACTAGAAAACGGTTTTGAAATTCGAAAGAAATCTTTAAGGGGAAGGAATTTCGAAAAAATTTTTTGGGAAGACGCCTTTAACTTAATAAGACATAGTGGATGTTAAAAATTTCTATTAAGAAAGCGGCTATAATTTCGAACATAAATCGACTTTTGAAAAAAATAAAAAAATCACCTAATAACTAGTCAGTCCCATAACAAAACATACTCGATTTTATAAATATTTGCAAAAATCTCATAAACTATGCTCTCTTTCTCGCTGATGTTCCTGCTGCTGCTGAAATATTTGAAAAAATATTCTTTACAAACTTTAGATTATATCAAATAAGTTACATACATATATTAAAATATTAAAAAAAGTATTGCGTTACAAATATAAATTTAAATACACATAGAAATATTATTACATATTCAGGTTGTCGAGGAATGCCTCTATTTCGACTCTCGCTTTAAACTATTTACATTACAATTTACATACACTTTGCAGAGCTTTGTATAAAAACATAGAACTTAACTATAATTTATTTAATATTTCATAAGCACACAGCGATAAGGTTTGCTGCTCGAAAATTTAACTAACACACGCAGCACACACACATACAAAGATTCATGCGAGCTACTACCACACACACACACACTTATTTACATATATTACGAAGATCACGCACGCGAACGCACGTACGCCGCTCTCTAGCTGTTTGCTGGCAGCTTCGCGTGCGCCATTGTCCTGTAAACGCTTCTAAAGCCCATGATCGTTGGTGTTGAGGAAACTGCGGCACACGCGACTCACTTCCGGATTCGCATGATTCATCAACTGCATGTAAATCTGTTTGTGTAACTGGATTTCGTTGGTCATCTCCTGCAGTTGACGCAGCAGCGCCTCCTTCTCCTTGAGCAACGTCTTGACGCGCTCCTCCACTTCGCGTGAGCGCACCTTGGCCTTCTCGCGCGACTTACGCACTGCTATGTTGTTGCGTTCGCGACGCCGACGATACTCTTCGCTGCCCTTATCGACATGTTTTAGCGAAGATTTGCGTTGATGGTGTAGCTGTTTGTTGTGGTGTTTGAGTAGGTGTGCGCCGGCCGCCAAATGCGGTAAATTCACAGAGTGATGTGCCAACACGTTGGCTGAGGTCAGATTGGTGAAGTTGGGCGCACCGCCGCCGACGCCATTGCTCATGCCACCGTTATTGCCCACCGGGCCATTGTTTGCCGCCGTCTGATACGGATTGTAGAGCCCGTTGGCGCCACCATTTGTTATGAAAGCGGCGGCTGCTGCATTATTCGCATTGGTTTCTTGCAGATGACGGCGATATTCCGGATCGATGGGTTCCTCTTTGATGGTGGACGAATCCGAGCCCACCGACGAGTTCTCATCACTGGAATTATTGCTGTATGCTGCGCCCGAGTGCACCGCTTGCGGCATGTAGGCCAATGCGCTGCGTCCATAGTTGTGTTGTTGTGTGCGTAAGGTTTGTTGTTGTAGCTGATGTTGTTGCAGCACTTTGGCCGCGGCACTAACCATGCCGTTGGGCGGCAACGTGGCCGACAAACCGCCCGGACTGGTGACCATGTCGCTAAAGATGCCCAAACCCTCCTGTTCGCGAAACTGATCGTCGATCAGGTGTTGCAGATCCAAAGTGATCTCCTGTGCGGTCAACTCATCCAGATCGGATTGTGTGTACTGTTGTAGCATTTGTTTTTGCAGCAAATTATTCACATTATTCACATTCGCATTAATCGCGGAGGCATTGTTGTTGTTGTTGAGCGCGGCGGCGGCATGCTGCATTTGATGCACCGCATGTTGCTTGACCACCAGTCCAGCGTTTTGTTGTTGTTGTGCAGCAACCGCGGCAGCAGCTGCCAAATTACCAACATTATTGCTATTGTTGTTGTTGGCATCTGTGCCGTTGTTGTTGTTTGGATTGTTGTTGTTAATATTGTTTGCAGCGTTGTTGTTTTGCTGCTGCTGCTGGCCGCTGGACATAGCCGTCAGCGTGATCTGGCCGATGATCGCCTGTTGAGGCGGTGGCTGCTTTTTGAGGTCCAGCTGGGAGAGCGTCTGCACGGTGTCGTACATCTGTGGTGACTCCATATTGAGCATTTTTAGTTGTGCAAATGAGGGCAAAATGTTTACTGTTTATACTGACTGCTTTTGTCTCGCAAGTTGAAGGGAGCTGAGATTTAGTTTTACCGTTATTGCACAAATTGTTTGTTGGGGGGGGTGTGGCAAAACTTAGCACATTTCAGCGGTTTCACTGCTTTTGAGTTCACTGCTGTAGTTGTTTTCACTTTTTTTTTTCAAAAGTTGTTCACATTTAAAGTTGATTTGGGGAAAGGCTATTATTTTTACTCTTTTTCAAAGTTTGTCACAGTTTTATGTGTTTTAGAATTTTTACAAACTGTATATCTAAAAACTTGTTTTGGCTTTTATACTCTTATCCACTTCTTATCTGAGGTAAAATCTTTGGATTATTTTATAAAATTTGTCACACGGTTAATTTTTGAAATTATTTTTAATGTTTTTTAATTGTTTATTTTTTCTTTTTTTAATTAAATTTG